AATGTTTTCTCATGGAGATTGTATCAAAATACATACACGTGGCATCCTGAATGGGTAGCATAGTTCCCCAAGTAATCTGTGCCTCAAAAAGCTTGAAGAGGTCAGATCGGATACAAAGAAATCAGAAGTTAAGTCTCAAACAGATGTATACAATTGTCAAAATTAGGATTTTTTAGCTGAAGAGGCAGCAAAATGAGACATTTTGAGCAAGTATGCTATATTTTTGCACTTATTTGTGTTAAATAATTTCAACCTACTTTATAAAGCTCTTTCATCCGTTATACAGATTAAATGAGATGGAACACTAGCTGGCACTTACAGTTCAGGTTGGCAAATTAAACCACAGTGCAGAGAGCTAGTGCAAAGTCCAGTAAAATCTAGTTTTAAGATCTTGGTTCCTGCTGTCTGGTTTAACCCCTGTTAGCAACACCCAAATTCTGACTTTCTTTTCCTTTGCTTCTGAACTAATTTTAAACAAATCCTATTATTTGAAGAAGGAAAGGACTTCATCTCTGTCTACTAGTTTACAGTTATCAAGGGAAACTCATCAATTTTTGCTTCTAACTACCTTCTGTTTTATTAGACAATTTTAAAAAAATCTTTTCCCCAAATAACCTATGTACCAAGTGTCTTTGCCTTGTGTGTATTCTTCAGGGAACTGAAGAACTTCCATGATGTAGCTCAGGACTATGACATTCCAAAATAAAATACCACAGCATGAAGAAAGCCGGCATTTGTCTTGAGTGTTTTGGAGGATTGGTTGGAAAAGGGGAATAATAACTGACAGGCATACCAGAAGAAGAAAACTAAGCAACTAAGCAGATTTTTTTTTCCCCCTGGCTTAACTTGAGAGTTCTAGATTGGAATAAAGAGGTGTGTGTCATATTTGTAAAAAAAAAAAAAAAAAAAAAAAAAAAAAAATCTCCTAACATTACTATAACTTCACACTATTTGCAGGATGTCAATGGCTTCATTATACTGGTCTTTTCACCCTTTCTCCTCCATTTTGTCACATAAGTAGTGACCTAGAGTGAACATGTTTTTTAGTAGGTTACTTTATCGGTGAAGATTCTTCCCCCTGCGCATCATTTGTGTTACACATAACCTGTGTCAAACATGCCAGAATTTCTTACTTGATAAAACTGTAGTTTGAAAGAAAGTGATTCATTATAGCTATGTGGCTAAATTGCTTTTGCAGAACCAATATAATAGTGTTTGAGATTTGGACTTTGAAATGCACCTTTGGTTATAACTTGCTCATTCTTTGAAGATGGTTTTTCCTGTGAAAAATCACATACTTCTTGCAAAAAGAGAATAAAAAGGAAGGAAAATAAAAATGAAATATGCATCTGGAAGTGGGAAAAAAACCCACTGAAATGTAACTACTGGTTATCCCAGCCAATGAACTGTTGTGTGTTGTGCATTATTGTGTTGCTATTAAGAGCAAGTGGGAACAGACTTTATTTCCCTAGCACCAGATATCCTGCCATTTGCTGACTTTTTTTTTGTTTGTTTGACTTAACATTTATCTCATGTTAGTCAGTTACTCATTAACTGATGTGACTGATGTTATAGTCATATGATGAAAAATTACCCGCAGATTCATTGGAATCAGAATTCTTCATAAAATAAATTTTAAAAAATCTTTTTTCCATCGATATTGGACTTTTTCAAACTAAGGCTGAATGCAGGAAATATCACACTAGGAAAATGTTTTCATATTAAGTGTGTGTACAAGAACAGGTAATTTGTCTTTGAAATAGTTGCTTGATTATTTATGAATAGACTAACAGTGTATCTCTGTGTCTGTGTGCTGGGCACCAAAAAGGTATCTATTTCTTAAAGTAGGCAAAGCATTCTTACATTCTGGCATGGCTTGTTAATATGTGAATGTACAGAAGTACAGAAGCTAAATCCATTTTGTGTGGAGCTATGAAATATTACACTAATGCATATGCAGTACATTTCTTACAAGAATAAAGAAACTATTGAAGGCTGACAAACCTGGTTATTGTAGATGTCTTTAAGATTAGCTATAATTTCAGTAGGTGGACCAGTAAAGTCCTTCTGAAGTTTATTGTTTTGTGCAGTTGGTACACAACATGTAACTTTTTAAACCAATGACCGAGACCTATACTTGGTTTTCTGTCTTTGCATTGTCACTGGATTAAGTCTTGCTGTTTTACTTTTTAGCTCTATACTTTTTCTACAAAGCTTTCTTCTTCAGCATGTCCCAGACCTTTGAAAACTAAGAAAGACAATTGGAGCCACTTATATATTCTGAATCTAGATTCTTTGGATGTCATAATATCCTCTGTTATCTGTTAACAGGTTAAAAAACTCTCTTGCTTTTAGCCCATGTCTGGGTTAACAGTGGAAGAATTTGCTTCAACTGCTCATGAGAACTGGAGTTGGAATACAGCAAGATCTTGGTTATTTTGCTTCATCTAGGAGGAAATGTGCAATTGTGTATATGGAGTTAGACGAAAAAAATGTCACTGTATCTTGTGTGGTTCATTGAGTTTTGTAGCTCAAAAACAGCAGCAGAACATCACAGTTTTTGACTTCTGTAAAAAGGAAGTGTGGAAGACGCAGAAGCAGAAGAAGATGATTTTGTTTTGTAAAGTCAGTTTGCTATATGCAGCTTTTTCAAGTATAGAGGAGCTCAGAGAAGAAAAACAATCAAGTTTTATTTTTACTGTTAGCTCTCATCTTCTCACAGTCTAGAGTTGCCTGAATAAGATGCCACAAATCTGCAGAGATTTGCAATTCTCTTCTGAAGTTCTTGTCCACTGGATGTCCCCAGTGTTCTTGCGTCAAAAGAAAGGGGATTATTTTCTTAGGCAGTGAGTCGGTTGTAATTAGCAAGCAAATTACACTGTGTTTTCGTTATACAAAGGGGTAAAGATATGCTTGATTCCTCAACAGTTCTGATCAGTGGAGGGAAGGGAGACAGCAGAGATTATGTATGTCAGTGATGACAATTTTATTCCACAGTGGTTCCAGTTATTAATTGCATGGGCATGTAATGTTAGTTCATCTCTTCCACTGCACTACTCAGCCAGTCTGCCAGCTCCTTTGGTGTTTCCATTAATTCTTTCTTCCTAGTATATGCAGTGAGAGGAAAGAAATTGAAATTTCATGTTTATCTACTTTAACCCTAACTGTTGCTAATGAGAACACGAGCAAAATCAGTTTGTAAGTACGAGGTAATTGCGTGGTCAGGACAACTGAGACAGTCTTTCCTCCTTAGATGCAGGTGTTTGCAGCTTGTCTTGGTCGTGCAAGGTGCATGTGGCTTTGATTCTTTCAGCTGGACACTGTTCTGCCCGTTAGTTTGTCACTTTGGCTTGAAAGGAGAGTTGTAATTCAAGCTGGCATATGAAGTTCTACATATTATGTCAGGCAAGAAGTCACCAAGGCATATGATGTCCTTGCTTCCAATAATAGGCATGCTGTTATGACAGGTTAGTTAACATCTTCCATAAATGGAAGTATGGGTGTTTGGTTGGATAGAGTGGTGAATCGTGAGTCTCAGTCACAAAATGAACTGCAGAGATGCAGCATATTACAACCTTGGACTTGCAAGCTCACTGAGGAGTCAGAGGGGAGAGCAGACAAACTGCAAGAGTTCAGTCAGTCCTGTTTTCCTTAGGGGTAGTGTAGCGATCATGAATGAGCTGGGAGTTGAAGAAACATGCTAATTTTTTTTTTTCCTTTTTATGAGTAATTTATGATTTAAGAAGCATTGCGAATTGGAGATTGATCTTTTTCATAACCATTTACAGAGGCAAATGCTGTCTCTTTTGTGCTAGTGGTAAAAAGCTGTTCCTGATTCTTTAAGCTGGAGTGGGTTGTCCTTGTGTAGTCAGGTAGTAGCCCCTTTGACTCTTTGCCTGTGTTGTGTACAGAACTGATGTTTCTTTTTATTCTTGCAGCCTGCTCTGTTGCATGGGCTGCATCTTCTTGTTAATATTCTAAGGATTACAAATGACCTGAGGCATGAGGCCCCCTCTGCTCAGTAACCCACTCTGTGTACCATGAATTGAGTCATCATAGGAGTGTTCAGAAGATCATAGCAGCTGTTCTGAAAAAAAATTCCACCTTTATTGTCCAGGTGTTGCTGCATAGTTTCTGGCTCCACACTGCTGGATGAGCGACAAATCGTTCCGGAGAGCCATAATTTTGAAGGTGAACATGTTAAATGAAACAGTTTTCACTGGGGTTAACCTCAAGGTACTTGTTAAAGTGAGCATGCATGATGACTACTACTTTAGCTCAGCTGAGTGGTGTAAAGGGATAAACCTACAATCTTTAGACTGTATGTGTGAGATTTGAGGGTGCCTGCAATATGAGATTGTAGAAATAATCTAACACTTAGTTTTTCCTAGATTATCCTGTAATCCAAGTTTAGTCATGCTTTTCCTGGCTTTCTTTTGTGTTTTGGTTTCTGAATATCAAAATAAAGTGGTTTGGGTTTTTTGGTGTGATGTATATGGACTAGGTTCTTCATAGGATGTGTTTTAATTTGGAGACAAATCTGTGAAGATATGTGAGTCCACAGAATATCTGTTCTGCTTCCTCTGCTAAACCCATGACCCAAAGTCAGTTCCAGAACCAAGGATAAAATGTTGGGAACTGCTGAAGTTCTAGAGTTCTTGAAAAGCAGAATATTTACTCACTGACTAAAACTGAGGTGATGATTAAAGAATGCTATAAAGGATAGAGGAAGGGATAAAACCATGTGATGTGAGGGAAGGCATTACTCTTCAACCTGTTTCATTGATTAGAGTATGTGAGCAGGGCACTGAGTTTGCATTGAGCTAGTGCTAACTTTTTAGGGAGCTGAGAGTAGATAGAACAGCTGAGAGCAGCAGTGGATGCTCAGGCTCTGATCTGATTGGTGCTTCTTTTTCTGGACAGAGCTTAAACAATGCAGCTGAGACATCTCCAAAGGTACTATTTTTTTTTCCTTATTTTATCATCATTTTTTATTCCAGGTGGTGACACCCTGCTTTCTTCCAAGCAGCTATGAGCTGGTAAGTATTTTTGGCACTACTGATAACCATCAGGTTTTATTAGGTTATAGGTTAGATTATTCTTGTAGTCTCCTGTAACCTCTTATTATTTCAGTACTGTGCAATCACCTTTCCTCTCTGAAGGCTTGACAAATCAAGGCACTATTTCTGAAGCTTGTTATTGTGTCCTGTCCCATGCAGGAATCCACATGTTTTATGCTTTTATTTGTGTGTTTTAAATATAAAAAATACTTCAGTAATTATTTGTTTCAACATACTGATGTCTCATGTCAGTTTGGAAGTACAAGTAGTGTAAGATTTATTTGGGACCTATTTTTTTTTTCTTCCTGGTGGAACCCATATTTAGTAAGGATAGGGAAATCTTAAGCCTTTTCTGGCTTGCAATACTGTATTTGGTTGTTTTAGCTCCAAGGGTAATATGAGTGATGCCTGGAAGATGGATTGTAACAGTTACTTATTGAACCAGCACTGGCAGCTGCTAGTGTCATTATTAGGACTAAGCAGCCAACAGATGATGCACAAGTGTCAGCCAAGAACTCTGTGTACTGTAGGTAAGTGATAGAACCACTGGCAATTAGGAATCCTACATCTCACTTCTGCCTTGCTGTGTGAATTGGCCAAGTTACTTTGTACATTTTTGTGTCTTGATTTCCCTGCTGGAAAAATTTTGGTAATGATGCTTACCTATCATGAACCACAGAAGTCAAAAAGTGCTTTTAAAATTATTATCATGTAAAGCAAAGCTGGAAACCAAAATCAGTAATTTCTGGTATTATGAGGAATGTGAGTATCAACTTATTGGGGGTCTCTCTTAGATTTGACCCAGTAATTTTATGAATTAACCCATATCATAGTCTAAGGATCTTGTATAGTATCACTGCTAAAATTATAAATAGAAAAGAAACCCTTTCTTTGTAGCTCACAGTATTAGGGACATACTGGCAATTGTAGTTGCTTTCTTTTGTGTTGTGCACACAACCCAAGTATTGATTCTGAGATGGAAAACCAGTTACTTTGGTTCAAAAGAAATTTTAAATATATAGCAACCTGGGATATGTTACTAGTCATTAATAATTCTGATTGAACTTGGCTTATGTGAACTTGGTTTATGTGTACATGGGGCAATGTTGATATTGTAGTACCAACAGACTTTGTGACCTGCTGGCACATAAAGAGTGCAGATGGCATAAGTGGCCTAACCTGTTTTAGTTTACTAGCATGAATGTAGACAGAGGTGTATTCAGTCACCAAATAAACATTTACTAGTTTGGGCAAAGGGGTGGAATTCTATTTAAATGTCTTGCAGAGATATCTGTAGGTGAAATATTTTCACTACATAGTATACAATATGTTTTATTGCTGAGAGAGAGATTGAGTAATGTGGTTTGCTTTTGGTGAGAAATGTGACATTTTTATATTAGGAGTCTTTGTTCCACACAAGTAAATTTTGTCTATTTAGTGAAGAGTTCTGTTGTTCTGAAGGAGGAATAGCTGCAAGCAGTTTCTTTTACAACTGTTTTGAGTATAAAGTTTTGATAAGATCAACAATAAGTAGTTGAGAGATTTAGATAATAGGGAGGCCAACTTATATTCAAATTAAGCAAAAATTTGTGGCATGATAATTTGCTGCTGAACCATGGATTTATCCCCATTCACTCCAGCCAAGGAATTCCAACCTTTTAGTATTCACATGAATTAACAATACATATGCCTTCTTTAAATCAGTGTTGCATCTATTTAGTCAATGTAAAGGTTGCCTATATGCGCTCCTTAAACTGGCTTATAGCAAGATAGTAGTTAGACTCTCAGTTGCATATTTCATGGAAGACTGTTGAAGCCTGATGAAATTTACAGATGTTATTTTTCTTCAGAATGTGTATTTTATTGCATATTTTCTTTTGTCTGTTACCAAATGGGCCCTTCCCATTTCTTGTGAATCACATGTCATGAAGCTTTGTAATGACATCAGGAGGCTCATATATCAACTCAATGCAGCTGCAGATGCTAAAATACAAAGCAGTTCCTGTGTTCTAACACTACTTAGTTTATGGTATCATGCACATTCCTCAGAATGTGGGATGATGTTAGTCTAGCTCTGTTCATTCAATTAAAATGTTTAGCAAAGATGACATATTCTGTTGCACTTAATTTTGTTTCATGAAGAAACAATGGATTATTTGTGGGGATGGTCTGTCATTACAGAGATCTATAGGTTAACCCAAAAACTTTAAAAAAAAAAAAAAAAAAAGGGTGAGGGAGAAAAAAGTGGTGTGGTCTCTGTTTGTTTTTACTCTAGAGATGAGTGAGCTTATAGAGATGAGTGAGCTTATATAGTACTTCTAAAATTAAATAAAAATCAAAGATGGTAGGTATGTTTAAATGGCCTTTACTGGAATTATTTGATCTTATTTTGAAATATTGTTAGTTATTCAGCTGATAGTATTTCTTAAACTGATGTTTTTAATTTAAAAAAATGCTGACAACTTTAAGTCTTTTTCTCTAGTGCTGTCAGAATAAGAACATGTTTAGACCCTAACTGTAAAGGTCTGGAGACTTGTTTTATCTATTGCTTAAAAAATATAAAAATTAAAAGGAAAGCCAACGAAAGGGGATATTATTTTAGAGACAATTTTTAGATTCCAGGACATAGTTTAGGGTATTTTAAGATGCTTCAAAAGGATAGTAAGCTAGTCTTCTTCACTGAATTTCTTTTTTGTCCTTTATGATCTTTGAAAAGAATAAAACAAATTAACATTAATTCCTCAGAGTGCCATCACCTCTACTGCCAAATTTCTTTGAAGTAAAGAAATGTGTGAAATCCCAAACCTCTTACTTACATGAATTCTTATCTTAAAATTACTTCCTTGATGAATGGTCCTTATGACTGCATGACTTGGCAGTTTTAAGACACGTTTAAGAAGTGATCTTCAGCACAGGAATTTATGATTGAATTTCACCCCCCCCCCCACTTTTTTTTTCTAATTTTTTTTCCGAATGGTACCAAACAATTCTGTATAACTCTAGTCTGCCACTTAAATATCACTTTTCATAACTAGCTCTTATAATGCAGACATATTAAATAGGCACATACCTGTAAGGTGTATTTTACCATAACAATCACTTCAAGCTGAAGTTTGTTTAGTTGTTTTGCTAAGTCTTGAGTGGATGTTTGATAATTTTGATAGAAATTGGAGAAGGGCATCAATGGTTCTGATTCACACCCCCTTGTCCTAAATTATACAAGCCTCTTTTCTGCCTGTAGAAAGAAAAATCAAAGACTTGAACATTCAGCCCCTCCTAACAAACTAAAACCTGGTTTTGAACAGTGAGTCAGACTGTGCTCTGTACTGTTTCAAAATAGGAGGAGAACAGAATAAAAGTAGTTGTGGGAGAAATAGAGATTGGTTTGCTTTGGGTTTTTTTGGGTGTGTGTGTTTTTAATTTGGTTTTTTATAAGAAGCAGGAGCATACCTTGAAAAAAATTGCTGAAAAAGTGAGTGTGAAGTTACAAAGGCTTCATTTTAATTGCCTATCTAATTTTTTACTTGAAATCCGTGGTAGTTTATATGTACACCTACATACATTAAACCTAGTGCCAATATTTTCTCAAAAAAAAATTCAAAACTATGAACTGAAAATTCATCTTGATACATAAAAGTTAAACCAAACTCCCAGCTATGTATGGGTAAAGTGAGGAAGAGAACAGGAAAGTTTAAGAAAATTCAGTACTCTTAACAATGTTTGAAAGAATGCTTGTCCCCTGTTGCAAAAGAACCCTCTCCTTCCTTTTTTTTGGTGCTGTTGTTTTCATGCTGTCCGGAAGCTTTGTATAAGAAAGATCAGTGAATATGAAAAAATGAATTTTTATCCCTACTGCATTCACTTTTAAACATGTGTTTTGAGAAAAACAATGTGAGACAATCTACTGTTCCCATGGAACACAGTCAGTCTGTTTTTAATGTGGGCGTGCAAGAGATTTTTTAAGAAATGGGAAGTTGAATAACTGTAATATTGGGAAGGTCTGTGCATGTAGATGAAGGATTGCATTCTCCAATTTCATTTTAAGTGGGGCCTCATTACTAGAAGATGTAATATGTTAATTTGCGTTAGTCAGGCATTACCTTCAAACACAGTGGAGTATGATGACAGTAACTAAACTAAGCTAGAAACTAACATATACAGTGATTTTGCTCTGCCACCTCTGAGTTTGGTTTCTGGCTTACATCAGTAAAAGCTTTTGTGAAAAATTTATGAAGTGGGTTTGGTTTGTAATTAATGTCTGTGGCTAATTAGTTCTCATGTTTTCCTGCCTTTCTTCTTCCAAAAAATAGTGTGGAAAGCTTATGGAAAACTAGGAACATGCCCAGCTTTATTTAGGGAAACTTCCTTTTTTTTCTCTATAGGCTACATTCAAACTTTAGCTCACAGGACCTGTGAGATGCATGCAAAACAAGCATTATATGCATATTCAGGCATGATTTGGTGAAGGTGAAGGACGTGCCAAATCTACCAGACTTTCCCATTGATTTGAACTTTCCTGGCTCATTCCAAGACTTTCACCAGAGCAATTCTTATGGGAATGCTGCAGGCTATAGCTGCCCGTCTCATGCCTGTGCCTGTGCATCATGGGAGGGCAAACACAACAGCCTTGTTCTGTTCTCTGGTTTGTTTGCAAAGGGTGGGAATATTCAGTGGAGGTTTGTATCTGTCTGTTCAGTTCCTGCTCTGTCACCATCCAGAATCATAGTGCTCATGTCTCCATGAAAATAGTGGGCTTTGGATAAGTGTTTAAGGAGGAATGTTTCTTCGCTTCTGGTTCATACAGCTTTCCTGAACTCACAAGGAGGCAAAGGTGCCTTGAAACTTTTTGAAACTTTTTCTTAAAACTCTTGCTGTTCAGTTTTTCTTTATTAAATTTTGACTTGTGCTTTTATCTTCCTTTTCTTTTTTTTTCTTTCAGCTTCTTAAAAAGATTTTCCTAATTTTCTCAATTTCTTGAT